TATATTTCAGTTTCAAAACTGGAATAGATTAATCCCAATTATGGAACCCGTTGAAGAACAAGTCCATCTCCCTTCCAGTATTAGAAGCAGGAGCTCTCCTTCTTTTCAGAGTACAAATCCAACAAACTTAACATCCCAGGGCCCATAGGATGTAGCCTTCCCTTCCATGGACACTTCCCTGTTCCCATCCTATAACTTTTTCTTTCTTTTTCTTTTCTTCCTTTCTTCTGTCATCATCATTATATAACTGCAAAATATCAATGTTATAAATAATTACTCCTTTCTTGCCAGGAAACACATCTCCCAGGGCAATTTCACGGGTAGACAGGGAACGCAAGGTCAGCATGAGGTTACACCGAGGAGCCCCCGCCAACATCTCCTCGTCTGACCTCACAGGACGGCAAGAAGTGTCACGGATTTCAGCATCACAGGTGAATTTCTTTTGATGATCCTGTTTCACTGAAAAAAATATTTATGATAAAAATCATCAGAGCAAGTAAGACCAGCAATAAAAACTTAAGTACATCCCATCCTAGCCCACTGAACAGTCCATCTAATCAGGCAAAGAGAAGATAAATATTATTGATATATGATACCTCAACTTGCTTGGATTCTGAGAAATATCTGCAGGTAATCCTTGGTTTACAGTGACTTGTTCAGTGACCATTTGAATTTACAATGTAGCTATAGTGGCTCCTTCAAGTTCTGGACAACCCAGCAGACCTGCTACACTAACACTGCACCTCCCCCATCACTCACACAATCTCTCCCACCTGGCAGCAGCCATTTACCTACATGCTGGCCTGGCTTGCAAGTCACCTGGGACTTGCAACTTCCTGCCAGCTTCTCTGTTGACTTTGATTGTTGGAAGCTGGCAGTAACTTGAAAGGAGGTGCTTGCTCAATAGGAACTGCAGAGATTTTTGTCCCCAAGCAATGCAGTCACCTGTGTAGAAATCTAGATCCAGGAAGTACAGGCTTTCACAGACCATACAGACACTGGATTAAAACATCAAGTAACACCAAGACTTGGTAAGACACCAAGGACAACAGGCTGGCATTCCTAGAGTGAGGTTCTGATTGGAACCATTGGCATCCTAGAAACAGAGATCTATAGGAAACCCATACACAGATGCCAATATCTGCTGTTTGATTCTCACCATACATTTCAACACAAAATAGAGGAGTCATTGGGACACTACATCACAGGACAGAAAACATCCCCACCACCAGGGATGCCTAAAAGAAGAAAAATAGGCACCTGGCAATTCTTAAAGCCGGCGTGCATCCAAATTGGACTTTTATTAAATCAGCATTTGGATCCAACAAAACAATTGCAGGCAAAGCTGAGACTCAAAGTCAACAGAAAAATCTGGTCATTCCTTACCCCACTGGCTTTATTGGAGAAACTAAAACGGATATTTGGAAAATGCCACATACCTGTGTTCTTCAAACCCACCAACACACTAGGAGAGGCTGGTCCACCCTAAAGAGCGGATACCAAAATATAAGGGTAATGTGCATGGCAGTCCAGCCCAGTGAGGAGTGTTCAGAGCTCTACATTGGAGAAAACCAAGCAGCCTTTACACAAGAAGGTGGCCCCCAGCACAGGAAAAGCAACACTGCAGGACCAGAATTGGCAGGGCACCTTCATTTAGAAGAAAAAGGATGCTGTTTGGAGGATAATAATGTTTACATTTTGGATAGGGAAGATGGATGGTTTGAGAGAGAAGTGAAGGAGTCCATTTATGCTAGAGTGGAAAATCCTTTCCTTGGTAGAGATGGAGGCCTCAGACACAGTATGTGCCCCATTCTTTATGCTGCTCTTTCACCATTCCCCAGGAAGACCGAGACCACTTCTCAGTTTCACCAGGGAGGGCACTCTTAATGACTTTACTAGGGTAGATGATTTAGCTGTTGGAACATTTACATCCCAATAACTCTCTGCCTACTCAACTAACGAGCCTATGCAGGTTAGATGAGAAATAAAACCTCCCTGGAGGACATTTATGGGATCCTTCTAACCAACTTGTTCAGGCTGAAGAAGCTATTTGGATAAGCCATGAAATGTTTTGAACCAAGAAGAAAAGAAATCCAGTTGCCATGACTCAGCTTCCAAGCAACTCTGCTTGAATGACAGAAATCTTCATTGACATACAGTCAGTCCCAGGATGTTGCCCTTTTATGACTGTATTGCTTAGTGGCAGAAATTCTGGTCCCAACTGCCTTTGTAACCCTTGAGTTGGCATCATCGTCTATTTTTGTGGATTTGCTAAGTATGAAAATTCCTTTTCCAGTAGATTCAAGAATATCTTAAGTCATCTTGGGAAGAACATTTTAAAAATTAAAAAAAATGCATTCACCCTAAGTTATCCATTTAATACATTGATGAAAATCTTTCTCAGGGTGAGGACAGAGGGATACATTTTAGGAGAGGGAATGCGATGAATCACCTCTTCAGAAGGGAGAGAGAGGAACTAGGGTTGTGGTAGCAAACCTATGGCACACGTGCCACAGGTGGCATGCAGAGCCACATTTCCTGGCACGCCAGTCATCAGCTCTGGTGTGCATGTGTGTGTTAGCCAGTTGATTTTTGGGCTTTAAGGGGGCAGGGGAAGCTGTTTTCACCCTCCCCAGGATTCAGGAAAGCCTCTGGAGCCTGGGGAGGGGTCATGTGTACATGCACAGGGAAGGGCGCATGTGCAGGGGGGCGGGGAGGATTGAATTGGTGTGGGCACAAGTGCGCGCCTGATAGCACGGACACACACAATTGTGGCACACCATAAGAACTGAACCAGAGCAATCCGTCTGTACTTTTCCTATGGTCTCCTTCTGCAGCCTATTCAGTTCTTTGTTTATTGCAGACCAGTG